GTTCGGTCGGTCGGTCATGAGGTGATCAATTGGTATAAAGAAAATATTAGCTATTTATAAAAATATCTATTTTGTTTACATATTTTTTTGCAACTATATCTTTTCTTTACACCAATTTATCTCATTATTCTGTTCATAACAGTATTAAGGTACGATTATCAAAAAATAATTAATTTACAAGATATTTAACATTTTATGTGAAAATGTGCAACAATAAAGAATAAAATATCTTTGGTAAACTATTGGTTTTTTTTTATATCTGTACCTTATTACTTTTATGCAGAATAATTAAAGGAATCATACTATATAAAAAAAATAATATAATTTCATTTTAAAAAATGAAAGTGACCTCGAAATTTTCAAGTGTCTTCATTTATAGAAAAATTATTAGTAGCGTATTGTATCTCTCGATGCTATGCAACTTCAGTAAATAAATTATTTCATATTTCTAAAAATAGCAAAAATATTCTATAGTAGATGGACAGTTACCGGTCTGACCTCTGTACACACACACACACACGTACACACACATATGTATGTGTATGTACATCCTTTTCCGATATATGAGCTATAAAAATTTTTATATGCTTACATATGTTCTGTATTCTAGTATATTTTTACATTGAAAAATTTTACAGAATAGAAATTGATCAATTTTGCAAGTATCTATGATTCACGCATAATGTTTGCGCATATTCATAGTTTTTTTTCTCTTTTAGGCAGCATTACAGAAGCTAAACAAAATGAAGGCATGTTGGACGCTTCTTTGAGTTTCGTATGCTTCCCACTTGTCATCCATTTAATTATTACTTAATAATAAAGTTGATTTGAAAGGTGCAATAACATAATTCAATTTATAAAAAGTAAATAAGTAAACAAAATTTTTGAAAGAAATTCATAGCATAATTTTTTATAGTATGAACAAAATTACATTTTGTTCTTTTATTTTTATTTCTTGAATCATTATTGCACCAGCGCCTTACATATTTGTTAAGTAATAATTCCGCTACTATAAAGTGCCGATTTCTTATTCCATTTTTTAGATTAATTTTTTACAGAATTTTTAATGAATATTAATATATAACATTTTTTCCCTTCTCTCTATTATTTGTTCATCTCTAATTTATCTGTTATATTGTCTTATGCAGACATAAAAAAAATCGATTGTATTTAAATTTATAAATCTGTGAGAATTTTAATAAATTAATAAAAAAATCGTTTGCTAATAACAGATTAATAAAAATAATTTCTTTTGTTTATTCGTGTAAGAGTGATATTAAATTTTTTATTAGTCTTTTATGTAATATGTTGATGCCATGAAGTAAAATTCGCTTTCGACAGGAACATCGGCAAAATGCCTTGTTGGAAGTGGAGAAAAACATAAAGCAACAACAGGAATACGAGATAGAGATGCAATCCATGCTCAAAACTCATAGGAAGAAGGTGAATTAAGTGCACACAAAATCTGTAAATATCTTAAATATGAAACTGTTGCGTTTTTAGCTCTTAGAAGACGTAGCGTTGCAACAAATACAATTGGAGCAAGAACTCGAAAAAGTTCAACAGGAAAGAGACACGAATAGAGCGCGTTTACTCTCGTACATTCACATTGGTACATATATATCTCCTTTTCAATCTTTAACAAATTCTACACAAAATACTATTAATTTAGCAAACATGAAAAATCAATATAAATATATAAATAAACTTTTTTTTAGCGGAGAAAGAAGCTGATAACGTAATTAAAGAATTTCTGAGAAACAGCGAGGAAGAAAGACAGAGTCAGGCCGAGTTAGTGGAGCGGGAGAAGCAAGAAGAAATGCAACTATTAAGCTCCTGCCACTCAGAACAGTTCCTACTACGTACGAAAGACACTCTTTGTAAGTATCGAATATAAAGATTATCCAAAATCAAGATTATTTGCGCATGAATATAAACTCATTTTGCAGTTGCAATGGAGAAATTGTTGGACGAGGAAATGTGCAGAACAAGGAAATGGGAAGAGCATACCAAATACAGAGACTGCACCGTACAATCCTTGCTTACGTTGTCAGTAATAAATTTTTTCTTTACATTTGCTTTTCTCACGAGTCAGTCTATAAAAGATATACAAAGATATGTTAAATATATTATTTCATTGCAATGAGTAATCAAATTGTCTTCGTCAATTCGATGGGTAATAAATCTATGAGAAATTATTTATAGATTGAGTCTCTAAAAACAATTTGCATAAACTGGTTAATAAACTTTAATTATTTAATTATTTTAAATAACAGTTATGAACAGTTATGAATAAAAAATTTTTTTTATATTATGTATAATATAATAATTATCATCATTATATAAAAAGAATTAAGAAGAATAAAATAAAAATTCGAATTAAGGGAAGTGAGAAACAACGACCACTTGGCACAGATAGTGCATGATCAGGAGAAAAGCAGGCAAGACCTTATTGATAGGTTACGACGGGATGAAGTCTTACAGAAAGCAGCAGTTGCCGCATTGTTGGAACGGAGCGATGCGCGTTCCTGGAGTATTATTCAGCAAATGAATCTCGTGCAATCACAATTGGCTGCGCTTACTAATATCGAACTTGAAAGGCGAAAGTTGGAGATCACTCAGCAGGTTGTAAGTATGCTCAATCTTATCGCGTGTATTAAATAAGAATTTAAAAAAATATCTTTGCTATCATAACTTATAATTATATAGATCGTAATATAATAATTACATAGCTCACTAGATTATTATACTAGATTATCAGTCTCTTAAATTTTAGATTCTTAAATATAATAAAATATATTTTATATATACAATATTATATGTATATAAAATTAAATATATGTAATTTATATACGTATTTTTAGAATGAGATCGCTGATAAACGCGTGGCTCTAACAGATATTCTGGTCGACTTATTAGAGCAGCAATCGAATAGGAGAGCTCAACTATTGGAGACGATCAATACAATCGAGCAACAGCGAGGCATCTCTGTAATTACGTTTCATTTTTCACTCTCAAATTTCTTATTTAATGTTCTACTTCTTTTTTGTAAAATTAATAAATATTAATGAGCTTTAATATAGTTTAAAAGATAATAAAATAAAGATGTTGAAATAAAATAAGAAAACAATAAAATTATTAAAAATGATTGATAGAACGTGAGACGTGACAGTTTGTTTTGGCTGATGCAATATCAATCTTTGATGGAAGCTCGGCCACAAGGACTATTGGAGATGTTGGAACCTATGCTGGTTCGACATGTGGCGATAGCAGGAGCTTTGCACTGCCTTCCATTCTTAGTCACTTTACCATCTTTATTACCAGATATTAGTAACGAACAATTGACGAATGCAAGTATCTTCTTCAAATTTTTAAAATATTGTAAATTGGAGTATTTTTGTAGTGTTAAATAAATTTGTGATACTTATATAATCAGATTTTATATCTATTTGTAATGAATAGTGAATAAACTTTTAATTATTTAAAATACACATCCGTTATTTTGTATAATTTTTATTTTGCAGATTGGCATAAATTGCGAGAATGATCGCGCTGCCATAATGTTGGCAGTTGAGAATTATCTATCAGAAGTTAAATTGAGTGACTCCAGATCGCCTGTAACAGCTTCTGCGCCTCTCGAAGAGGCATCGACCAGCGATCAAGACAATTCTATTCAGAATGTCAACATAATCGAATGCGTAATTTGCTTCGACTTGCAAGTAAATGTTTTTATACATATAAAATTTCAATACTCGATATCGATGAATTTATTTCGTTATTATTATAATTATATATTGTCTTTCTCTTTTTTGCAGTGCGAGGTGATTTTTTTACCTTGTGGACACTTCTGCTGTTGCTCCATTTGTGCGGAAAAAATTTCTGCAGAATGTCCAATGTGCAGAACTTTAATAGAACGTAAAGTTCGAGTTGTGCAGCCTTAAATTTATAAAACTCGGTTTTATTTAGCTTATTCACGAATAATGTCAACTTGATGCTTCTTAAGAGTATCAAAATGCGCTATTCTTCCTGGTCTGTGATTATGCACGTCAACAAACTGTTTCCATAGTAGTGGAAAGTATAACCACACATAAGTTATATTTACCACTAATATAAAGCTCATAAATGTCGGTATATGGAGAATATACTATTATACACCTCTTTGTGTGTGTGTGTGTGTGTGTGTGTGTGTGTGTGTGTGTGTGTGTGTGTGTTCGCATGTGTGTACATCCATTTCAAAATAAATGAGAAGTGGTTTTTAACAAAAATATTTAAAACAAAAGTTATTGATTTTATTATTATTTGTCTCCTTCAGGTCATATAACTTTTATTTAAAGCGTTTTTAATAAAAATCACTTCTTATTTTAAAATAGATGTATGAGTGATCCCAAACACCCTGTATATTGTGACTCGCAAAATTGTTCAAATGATCAATTTTATAAGCAACTAGTTTTTTTACACACAAAATGTAAAGTGTTTCCATTGGAAATTCTTTGATCAATTTGATATAACATAATTGGAAGTTTTACACGAGTACTATCTATATACTTTATAGATCTTGTCATATGCACATCGATTAATAATTTAAATAGTAGATCAGATAATTGTTTGCATTGTTCTTTGTTTTTGGTCAGAAAATATCAAAAGAAAAAAAAAACAAATATTATCAATCTAATACATCAAAAGACACAATTTAAGAAATATAGAAAATATTTATTGTGTTAATTTCTATGCTTTATCATTATGTCATGTCGTAAACATTATACTAAACATTATATTACATTTTACATTGATTTTACAGAAATCATGTGTGCACATTGGAATGTAGATAAGAGCACAAATTTACACGTTAAAATTATTTTAATCATACATAATTTTATATATACTTATATAATATAATATATATAAAATATACTATACAATTAGCTTCAGATAGATTTCGTATTAATTGAAGATACCACCAAAGCGAAATTAAAAAGAAATGTGAAATGTTCAAAGGAAGCATAGAAAAAATGGACATATTTTATATCCTTAATAACTATACAAAATATAATTATTCTATTGTAATTAAATTAATCACGTACATATCTTCATAAATTACAGAATATATTAGAATGTATAAGCACACCTGAGAGGAAGAGAAAAATATAAAACTTGTCGGTAGTTAAGTCGAGAAGTCAGTGCGAGAAAATCAGTGCATTTATAAAAAATAATTTTTACAATGAAATTTTGATAAACAATCGATTCTAAGATTCAATACAATCCGAGTGTTACTTTCTAACTAACGTTAGCGTTATTTAATCATGACAAAGAGAATCTCCTGTAAAATAATATAATAAAATTCTCATTTATGCAAATCGATCTTCTCATCATCACAAACTTTTAAATAACTAATTTTCTTTTTTGCACGAAAAACAGCACATCGTTTATAAAATTATAATGTTTTAAAATTATTAAGTAATGCATATTATTAAGAAATGTTTTATGTATAATCTGCTATTATTATATGAACGTAATTAAAATAAATATTAAGTTTTGATTTAATTAGCTTCAGACTTCATATGTTTTTTATTATTGTTCACACTTGAGCATTTAATTTATATTATAAATGTCTTAATTATTATCAGAGATAAATTTTTAAGAATAGTACATATGTGACGAATTCACTTTTTAGAAAATTTCAATAATTTCTCTTCCCGCTTCTTCATCTTCACCATTTACATCATCATCATCTTTCTTTTGTTGCTTTTTCTTCGACGTCGCGTCTTTCTTTTCTTTCTGAATCTTTTTAAAGTTTTCAAGAGATTCCTGCAATGGGTCAACAAACTGCTCAAACTCGACATCTATCATCGCTTGTATCACGTCTGGACCACTGATAGTCTTGCGATTACTTCTCTTGGCTACTATATTGGCAGCCGATGTGAGATACAGTATGAAAATGGATGCGGCCTTCGCTACCGCTGTTCTGGCATCTTTTCCAACTGTCACTCCATCTGGTAAAGCTTCCTTGATGATTCTGGTCACAACCGCATTGGGCAGATTCAGATCTTCTAATCGCTCGGCCATCTAATTACCGTTTATATTTTTTCAATTCTTATAAATAAAGAATAATATAAATTATAAAATATCATAATCTTACAATTATAATACTCGTGACATAAATTGTCAAAATAGAATTAACATGTTTACAGGGTGCATCTAAAATAATAGTCAGATCTTATATTCAAGACCATCTTAAGTATAGTCTTAAGAAATCACGAATCAATCAGAGAGCTGCATTAGCGTCTTAAGACATTACTTAAGATGGTCTTGAAATAAGAATCGACTATGAATACCGGTCTAAGTAAGAATTTCTGAGTATTTCTTTTGTCAATATTACTTGATTAGTCAATAATTCTCTGTTAAATTGAAAAATTGTTTTTTCTCTCTTCTGAAAAACTTAATTTTTTGAGTTGTGTCATTTTTAAAGTAAGAATATGTATATAAAGTATAAATATCTTTCATAAATAAGAGTAACATTTGACAATTTTTTAGGTTATCTTTAGTAAACAGTTTGTTGTAACGCATAAATTACAAAGATCAAATTCTAAAAAAATGTAAGTGAAAATAGCAGAAACAACGAGGAAAACCTCTGTTATTACCTTAATTTGTAAACGTGAGAGTTTATCAGAGTTTATCTATTAGCCCACGATTTGAGGTTAGGTCTTTCCCGCCAACGACTTCGCGACAATTACAGTTGCAGAAATAAACCTTGTCACAATGAGAATCAACAATGAAGTGAAGACCTCGTCAAATCAAGTGAAGATCTACGAATATATTGGCAAATCACGATAATTACATTTTCACTGAACTATGCGTTCGAAATTCGAACAAAAATTAACACCAACTACCGGAACTAAAGATGTGATTCATGGATGAATGGCATGAATGGCAACACAAATCTGTCAAATATATTGGTATTCGTAACTAATTGATGAAGAACGAATGAGGACCAATCAAGTTTGACAAGCTGTTACACACTGACACCAACTGACACGACGCACTACGCAGGCGAGGCGGAGTAGGTTAGGTTAGGTTAAGTCAGGTCGCCTCGTCGATAATCGCTTGTGCGCTTCTCGCAATCTCGAGAACGGTCGGTGCTGATGAACGACAAGTGTAAAGATTAGTCTCGGCGTCTGTATGCGGACAAAGTGCTTTGACGAGAGGCGAGCAGCTTTTAGGATTGAGACGCAATTCCGGGTATCGAACTGACATAACTTTGTTGTCGTTGTGCTCGACCGAGGAGGAAAACGAAGACACCATTCGGAGGAAAATGTCAAAGATCGAGGAGGCAAACGAGCACATACGTCAGGCAGAAAAAGCGTAAGCATTCCACTCGCCCTCAAGATTCTTTTGATGCTTACGAATCGCTCAGATATTATTGGAGTATTTAGAATGTTCCTTGTTAGATTTCGTATTGTCAGACAGTGTGTCAATCTAGTATTAAAGGCTAACAAAATGAGCTCATGGCAAACTTCAATAATGTCTTTTAAAGGCTTGTAGCTGTAAGTTTTCTAAAACTATATACTAATGCTCAAAAGTATATTTGTCCACTTTAATTTTTATACGTATCTTTTTTTTATGTTGTCTGTTCTAATTTTATTATATTCTTTATACACATCATTTCCTTATTTAAAAAGTGACACAACTCAAAAAATATGATATATATATTTCTGGATTATTATATGAATAAGTTAAGTAAAAAAAAAAACATTACTCTATCACTCATCAAAAGTAAACTAAGCTTCATAAAAAATTGTCATAATTAAAAAAGGATGATTTTTTAAAAATTGTGAAACATGAAAATGATTGAGTAGCCAATGATTTTTTCTAATAAATGGAAAAATAGATTTTTTCTTTTCTGAAAAACTTAATTTTTAAAGTTGTGTTATTTTTGTAGTAAGGAAGCAATATATAGAATGTAAAATTTTGAGCTTTATCAAACATCGTTACTGAGACTAATATTTAGAAGATTAAGAAAGAAGAGAGGAAACTGAAATTTATTCTACTTTATTTACTTAATTAAGAAAGAGAGAATGGACAAATACTTCAGAGTAATAGTATTATTTGTAGGTTTTTATGTGGGACAAATCTTTGTTTCTTTCAGCTTGAAACCTACATTCTTGAAATGGCGACCTGATTACGAGGTAGCAGCTGATGAGTATTCACATGCTGGTAAGAAAAATATGAGATTATGATAATAAAATATTTAAACAAAGTGTAAAAATAAAAAATCAAATATTTTATCGATGTTCAAAAATTCTACAATATATAATAAATTAAGAAGTTAATCAAGATTTTTGCAGACAGTTGAATAATTTAACTATACTTTTACAATATTTTAGCAACCTGCTTCCGAGTAGCCAAATCATATGCACAGTGTAAAGATTGTTTAGTGAAGGCAGCCGACTGTTACAAACAAACCAAAGCGTATCCTTTGATATAGTAATAAAAAACAATTTCTAATTTTTCAATTTTAAGTGTTGCATAAAATATATCTTTTTATTAAACTCGTCCAAAAATTTATTTATTGTATTCTTTATCATTATTTTAATAACCAACTATTACGTTTTCATAAAGATACCCAAAAGACAAACTTTATATTATATGAACTTAATTTTTTCCTAAAGTTTCTGCTAAAATTTCACACATCCTCGTGTATTTTCTTTAATTCTGCAATTATTGTGAAATAGATGGTTCCATGCAGCAAGGTATATATCACGTATATACACAATTTAGATTTAATCATGTAATGTATTATGAAATTATAAGAATGCAATGTTTTTAGGTGCATCGAGCAGGCTCTGCTTGTTTGCAAGGAAATGGGGAATTTGTCAGAAGTATCAAAACTAGCTCACAGTGCTTGTGGCCTTTTCCAGCAGCATGGATCTCCTGAATCAGGCGTTACTGCTCTCGACAAGGCAGCCAAAATGTTGGAAGCTACACAGCCCCAGCAGGCTCTGGAGCTATTTAGACGCGCGGTTGATATAATCACGGTAAAAATTTTGTCACTATGAATAAAAATAACTACTATAATAAAAATTATAGAAATATCGATATATTATATGAAGAAGAAGAAGAAAGATTGTATGATTTAATTATACAGATGTATAATTTTAAAGATTTTAGAAAATGTACATATAAGAATTTTGAAAATTTATTAAAAATTAAATGTTAAAAACAATTGTATAAAAATCCGTAGTAAGAAGGATTGAAAAAAGATATTATCTGTAGGGCGAGGACAATCCGCGACACGCAGCGGAATACATGAGCAAAGTTGCAAGACTATTAGTGAAGCTACAGATGTATGACGAGGCGGCAGATGCAATACGTCGCGAGATTGGCATGTATCAGGATGTCAAACTTTGGCAGTCGCTTGGAAGGCTTACTGTGGCGTTGGTGTTAGTGCAATTGGCACGAGGTGATCAGGTTGCGGCCGAGAAGGCCTTCAAAGAATGGGGTAACTTCTGCGAAGCCCCTGAAGTACGTGAAAGATATATAATAAATTTTCTTAACATAAAAATAAAAAGGAATTTTAAATTAAAATTCTCTTAATATACTGCTCAACGAATGTTTCTTGGTAATTGGAAAGTTGGCGAGCCATTAGTACCAAGATGAAAAAAAATTTGTCAATTATGTCAATACGCGATCTATTGGTTCTTTAGGTGCAAACATTGGAGATGTTGCTACAGGCATACGATAATGAAGACGCGGATGCAGCTCGGGCAGCCCTTAACAGTCCTTTTATCAAACACATGGACGTGGAGTACGCCAAGCTAGCGCGAGGTTTACCTTTACCACAACAGGAATACGCTATTCCACCTGCTGGAGTAAGAGCCAACGCCGCGGAATCCTATGTTTCTCCTAACGCGTCCAAGGCTGGCGGACAGGCTACCGTCGAAGCTGAAGTTAACCACGTGAGTTTTATTATTATATTTTATTATCCGTCATTTTAACATTGTATATTTGATTATTTCGTTAAGCATACAATGACGGTGATTTGTTGATTTTCTTAGGCAAAGAACGAAGTCAATGAATCTAGTCAATCAATCGAGAAGAAACCAGAAGTCGCATCACCGCCAAAACCGACACAAAAACAGGAGGAAGAGGACGATTATGAAGGAGGCCTGTGTTAATCGTCTTTACATGTAAAAAATTCCTGTATTGCTTATAAACTTTTAATTGTGTAACGCTTGCATGTATATTGAGCGTTTCATCGCATCGAAACACATTATTCGCTTCAAAAGAATTTGTCTTTCAGCTTAACTTTTAACAGAAATCTAACTGTCAGAATTATTAGAAGGCAATGCAAAAATGTGGAAAGGGATAACGATCTGTATCTTTTTTTATATTTTAAATTTTTATTCACACAAATATGTCACTTTAATTCATTTATTAGTAACTATTTTCTCTACACAATTCTTATGAACATTTTTTTTCCAAGATTTAGAATTTAATTTATTTTATATTAAACTTTTTATATTTTTTAATTTTAAAAATCTAAAAATGTTATATATGGAGAAAATATATTTTTGTCGAAAAGACTTAGTGTGCCACCAGAAATGGAAAATTTTAATTATTTTCTTTGATTGTGACAATACATAAAAATATTTCACAAGATCCATCTTTCATAAATTACCGAAGTAGCACACAGCGTCTATAAAGCGTCAAGGAAGCATAAAAAAGTGCAAATAGTTGCTTTTTTAATGCTGTGCAGACATTGCTGTGCTACTTGGATAGACTTGAAATATTTTTTCGTTTTCACAATCATCACAATCGAAGAAAATAAACGTTTCAAAAACTTAGTTTTTTGATGGGACATTCTGTATATAGCGACACCATGAACGTAAATAAGAGACATCTGCGATTTACTTTTACATATACGCGCATGTGTATATATTCCTTTAGCAAATCTCTAACATTTCCATATTTTTAATTAATAATTAGCTGACGTTGTATATACTTTAATTGAAAAACGAGACATTCCTCAATGAAAGCAGAAATATTTAGTTTTTCAGCAATTGTCCTAGCGAAATCGTTATACCTAAACTGTTATGATTGTGAGAGTTTAAGAGAAAAAAAACTATGAATATTATATCCCGAAATGTTGCTGTTTTACTTGCAACCTACCTACAAAATGTACCTACAATCCTTAATAAAAAAAAATTTTTTTCAAAGTTAATTTCTGCGAAAGTCAATTCCGTTATATGGAATGTTTATATAGGTTATGTTTAGTCGTACACATATCTGTTCCACTTATTGCACATTATGCTCTCCATTTTGTAGATATGAAATTTAATAAATTTAATGAAACTGAAAAAGAGAGAGATGTGGAAGGGAGAAAAACAGATAAACGATTTAAAAAAAAGCGCAGTTAAAAAAGATAGATTCATAATTGCGAGGAATACTCACTGGGAAGCTCGAATTACTGCAATGGTAAGCGGATTTACGCGGGAATTGCCTGGAGACGAATTCTTCGTTAGTCTTCGTAAAGTTATCACAGGTTTTTACGGAAGATCGAATCGCACCAAACCACACTCCGATACAACGAATTCGAATCGCACAACCTAGGACATGAATTTGAAACCAAGTGAAAATAGCGCGCGCGACCATAAACTACAGGTATTAAGCCTTGTGTCCACGATGCTAGAAATCGGTCCGAGATCTCGGATGAAGAAAGCATTGACCAATCGCAATGTGATCAAATTGTTCAAATGTGATTTGTTAAGGCCCGTCTACAATACACGGAGTAAGAAGTAAGAGTAAGAAATTGACAATCACAGTCGATTATTCTTCTCATATTCGACTGTGATTGGTCAATTTCTTACTCTTACTTCTTACTCCGTGTATTGTAGACGACCCCTTAAGGCCCGTCTACAATATGACTGCGTGTATCATAGGCTGCGTGAGATATTGCTGTGGTAGTATAAAAAGACGTGTCGATGTGCGGCGCGCGGCGCGACATCTAGTGATTTTGTCGGAGTTCGAGCGTTGCTTTAGGATAAATTCAGCGGGATAACCTAATCGCGATCATAATAATAATAAATAAGTAATAAACACTAATTATTAAAACAGGCTTTCAATTTTTAAAATACAAAAAAAATTAACAAATAACAGAGCTAATGAGAGCCAACACGGATAATCAAACGCAAGATTTGTATATTAAAAAAATCTACAAAACTTGCGCTTAATTATCCGCTCTGAATCTCATTAGTCCTGTTGTTTATTGATTATTTATGTATTTTAAATAAGCAACATTTCAAAAAATATAAGAACTCACAATTTGCGAGCAAATTACCCTCCCGAAAATTGAGTTTATCTTTATACACTGAGAACAAATATTTGTTCAACTAACTGCACACATTTAGTTGTTCGCAGATTTGGTTAATTCAACAAATTTTATTTATCTAAATTTAACCGTAGTCTACTTATATAAAATATTGAACAGTTCGTTAAGTAGATTACGATTAAATTCGATTAAATAAAATTTGATGAAATAATCAAATCTGCAAACAAATAAATGTATTTAGTTCGTTGAACAAATTTTTTTTCTCAGTGTACGTTTCTTTTAACAACTTAAAATGGTGTTACACACCAACCTACTACGTTTAAATACTCTTCTTTCTTCTGGCCAGATTGATGATTCTCACCTTTCGTTGATCGTGGCCAATATTCTGGCATTGTATGCCAGAAATCGACAGCAAGGAGAAATACTCCTTTTTGCTGCCGACTGCTGCCGACTAACATTGCCGGCAATAAGCGTAAGATTTTACGCTTATGTACGATGCGCGAAACACGAACGCGTCGCGAAGGGTTCATCAATGAAATGGACTAAATTGTAATATGAATAATCAATAACAATAATAATTCCACTAATATACAATGAATAAATGTCGCGTTTATTTTAAATTAAAAATATAAATATTCGACTAACAATAAATCTAAATTTTAAAAATCTTTAGGTTAATAATGTTTTTATTTCGAAAGTATCGAATATTAAACTAAATTAAATTTTTTAATATAAACATTACTATATAAAAAACAAAACATTAATTTAAAAATAAATGGAAAATGACTAAATCGATTATTATCCAGTGAAATTCAAGGTCCATGTACGTATTTTTAACGATTCGAACGATTCGTTGCTGAATCTCATCTCAAAGCATGCGGAGATGAAAAATTCAGATGAATGATGCAAGATCCGAAAGGGATAATTTTCCCTGACACACACACAGAAAAATACGCAAGTAACAGTTACTCTATTAATAATTACTTACGCAAGTAGTAATAACTTATTTCAAGTATTTCAAGAGTTTATATATCCGCAAATCTATCATAATTTCATCAGAAGCATTAAATTTATTCAAAATATATTCTGAATCCTAGCAAGCTTAATACTTCAATCAAGTTTCAATTTATTAAATTAAAACAAATTCGATATTTTCATTTTATATATATATATATATATATATATATATATATATAAAAGTTCGTCTCTTCGATAAAAAAATGTTATAATATTCTTTAAAAAAAATAAATTCTTGCTTTGAGTACATATTAGTATTAGAGTTTTTCTAAAATTTTTAATAAATATATTTTAAGATTATTATTAAGAAAAAATATTCTTTGAAAATATTCTTAGAAAGAAAATAAATTGAGTAATCACTTTTCTTAGCAGTAGATTGATATTTTTCTGTGTGCATCAATAAACATATCTCTATGTATTTTATAAATTATTAGAATCATTTTTTGTATAATTTATTATTTTAAAATTAAGTATTTTAAGTGAGATGCAAAATTCTAAACGCGATTTTAAAATAATTATGATATAAAATTTTTTCATTTCTTGAAATGTATATGGATCTTACATCATGTTACTACTTTAACTGGTATAAAATCCAGTTACTACGTATGGATAAGTTATAAAAGTTTAGGTTAAAGTCAATGCATTGTGATTAATAATAATTAGGAATTATAAAAAATATCTTCCATAAGAAAACCAAATAAGTTATACGAATTATACTACTCGACATTAAAATATTTTTTATTATTTCATAAAATGTATACGTATAATAAATACGGCAATTGAAAAAAATTCTTAAAATCAACATCTGTTTATATGTTTTCTGCACTAACTTATATAAAATTTAATCCTAGATAAATATTTGAGAATAGGACAGATACACTGAGAGAAAAGTGTTTAATATTTGTGGTACTATAATTGCACAGTAAAATAATTATAATTGGGAGTCCATTTTATGTTCATTATACTGATATAAAATAAACAAAATTATTCAATAAATGTAACCGCAATTACACAATGAATACACTCATTCTTGAAAACTGATTTAGTATTTATGTGATAATAATAACAAAAAGTATATTAAGAAAAACTAAAGATTCTTAATATACTTAGTAATATGTGCGACTATCATTCATAGCATAATTGATTATATTTGTACGTTAAAATTACTATTAATATACAGTTGTCCCAAGAAATAACCATAAATTGTTAAATTATGTCAGTTGTGTGATACCATTTGTTTTCTCTCAGTGTATTTGATGATATATGAATACCATGAGCTAATTCGAATAATAGTAAATTAAAAAAGTTAATATATTTTAATTTTATTTAATCTCTTATCTTTTGTTTTTTCTATATTTTTATATCTTTAAAATATTACAATATATTTCTTATAGATATGTAAATTCAATAAATTTTAATGTACATGATAATTTAAAATTGACCAAAAAATATTATTAAACAATCAATATAATTGTTAATAAACAATATTCTGTTATATCCTCATGGTATTCTCAATTTTTCAAAAATTCGACGATTGTATACAGTGTGTGCATTCGAAAATATCTTTCCGAGTCGAAATTTTAGTCCTATCTGGAATCTCTTTCAACCTCAATTAAACTTTATAAAGTTATTTTGATACTCGAATAATCAAATAAGGCCTTTTTTAATATCGTTCAATATACTTCTATTTAGAAAACTTCTTTTGAACCAAAAATTATAGGAAATCTCCCAAGTAGCACACAGAGCTTAAAAAGCGTTAACAAAGTGCTAAAAAGGTATATATATTCGAATTTTTAACGCTTTACAAGCGCTGTTGTATGGCAAGCCGTTTTACTTCTTAATAGCATAAAAGAAATTTAGTCTAATGTTAAATTCTTAAAAAATAATTGTCTTAAAAAAATTACAATTTTTAATAATGAATTTAATATTAGACTAAATTTCTTTTAAGCTATTAAAAAGTAAAACGGCTTGCCATACTGCTGTGCTATTTGAGCTACTTGGGCTTGCAATAACTGCCATTTATAGGCTCAACGTAGGAGCTCAATTCATCAGATTAGAACCTCAGATTACAAA